TATTCACTGTAGCAAAGGACAAGCCTTCCTCTTAAGGCTTGTCACGCACTCTAAACCTACCATATTGCATTAAATGTTCATTTAATGCACTGGGTATAAATAGAAGTGTTTCTTCTCTTTGTGGAGTGCGCACATCTCTCTGTAATCCTCATCTTACTTCAAGCATCTTCTAGCTTAAGTAAAAGATCTTCTTTTTAGCAATCTCTTTTCTTGTAATTGCTAAAGATCTATGTGTAACCAAAGATTGTTTAGATAGGTTTTCTTTACCTTATCTTTCCGCAAACAGTCTTGTAAAATCTGTATTGATCTTCTCTATCAATATATATTTTAAATTTGAAAATATTATGTTTGTATTCATCCCCTCCCCCTTCTACAAACTGTTTCTATTCTTGTAGACCCTTACGGGACCAACAGAGGATGTTGTAGGGGAAGAGGAGGTGGAGATGGAGGTGGCGGCCGGTAGTGGTGGCGGCGGTCGAAACTAGCGGTGATGACCATTAAAACAAATATCATATTAAGGTTATATATCAAACTAGGGTAGATTAGTAATATTTTAGTTTCTGTCTCATTCTTGTCCCATCTTGTTCCACATATTTTGATGGAATAAGAAAAAACCTCTTTTGTCCCATGCTGTCCCACCTTGTCCCAGTTCTTGTCCCTGTCTCATGTCATGCCAAACGTGGGACAGTGAGTTCTTGTTCTGTCCCATGCTGAGCTAAACATGGACAGTGAGTTTTGTCCCGTCCTATGTATCAAACGCGACCTTAGAGTTGAATCAGTGTCAATGACCAAATGAATCTTGCTCTATAAGATTAGTTTTTGTATTATCCTATATGCACAAAAGGACAACTCCATACCTCATGCAGAAAGGTACACATACGGATTTACTTTGTTTTCTCTAAACATGCTTACCAGCTTTGTGAAAGTTAACTGTTCATATGCGGATAAAAGTCTGCATGTCTAAAGACAAGGGACAAGCTCCCCACTAGAAGTTTGCCATGTGGCTTGTACCCTTTGACTTGCATTAAATGCAATGAGTATAAATAGCTGAGAAAATCTCTCTTCTCAGCAACACCTTCTTCTTCTTCTAACTCTATTCTCTCTTTTTCTTATCTCTTCCTGTCCAACTGTGTGTTTCTTAGATTGTTTAGATTAGGCCTTAGCCTTATCTTCTTTTGCAACAATCTATAAATTATGTATCGATCTTCTTTTATCAACAAAGGAATTTAAAAATTGAAAATTGTGTGTTCGTATTCAACCCTCTCCCCTCTACAAATTGTTACCTTTAAAACTTTTGTAGATCCTATTGGTATCAATAAGATCAAAACATCAAAAATGTCCCACAGGGGCAGGTGTATGCAATCAACACAAAGTGCATAAAGCCAAAATAAAAAAATTCAATGTTAATGCAATTATGAGAAAAGGCAGAAGTGAGTAAAATATGCCACACAGAGTGAACTAGTGACTCAAAATCCCTTTTGATCTTAGACATAAGATGTGTTGAGCATAACAAAAAAAATAATGCTAGCCTATGGTTCTCATGGACAGATTAAGATGAGCTCACTTGGATTTATGATAAGCTATACTTTGCATATTTGGTATGATCAACATGTTATGTGCACTTAATGCATCTTCTTGCAAATTCTGCAAAACTTGAGTCATTTAGTTGTATTTTGGTTGCTTGGGAACAAGTAACTTTTCTAGTTTGGCGGTGTGATACGCACTAATGAGAAGAAAAGAGTGGTTTACCACTAAATATTAGTGTGTATCACACCCCCAAAACCAATGATACTTCTCAACGAGTTGATCACTATAAAGTGTTAAATTGTTAAAGTGTCATGGACTCTAAGCTGAGCCATTGATTGCACATCCATTTGGATGATATGAGAAGTAGACTTGAGAGAGTTGCTGACAAAGAGATTTGTTAACTTGTTTTCTAAATTGGTTAATTCTCAACAAGTTGATTACTTTGAAGTGTTAAAGTGGAATGGAGTTAGAAATGAGCCATTCGGAACACGTCAACTTGAATGATATGGGAATCCGCTCGAAAGAGTGATTTTTAACAAAGAAATTTGTTTATCCGTATTTTTTGAGGATATCATTTGTCATTTTGTCTACACTGGATACTACATAGAGATATGAGTTGAAAGTCATAATATCAATGCAATGGTGAAGTCCGAGGGAATACCCTCAAAATAAATGGTGAAAATAGTTGTTCCTAATTGCATGTTGTAACATTTTGACAGCACTGATCTACTGGAATTTGTATTTACATCTCACCCCAACTCTTACATCTTGACTTTCTTTTATTATTTGTTAATTTCATCAAGTAATAACTCACACATATCAAAGTCTTCAAAGTCATCATCTGAAATCATTTCCTTCATATTACTTTTATTAAACTTTTACTCTGATTCCTATGGACGCTACTCGGTACTTGTATCATTTTATTACTTGAAAGACGATATTGGGATTAACTATATACTTGCTTTTGGTCCTAGTTACTAAATTTGTGGATGTGTAAAAAGCTCATGTCATAAAATGTGGTAAAACAGGGAAAGGAGAGAGAGAGGGAGAGAGAGAGAGAGAGTTTAGGTAATTTTTATAAGTCTTAGGGATTGTTTGTTTATCTCTTAATAGTTCTATTAAGAGACAATCTTTGAATCATTAAGAGGTGAATCTTGTTTGGCAAAAAAATCTGTCTCTTAAAAGTTCTAAAATCCTCTGAATGATTTTGCATCTTGGATCTCCCTTAACTATTTAGCGCTCTAATTACATTGTAAACAATTGCCAAACAATTATATTTCATTTTGCACTATCATGGAAGCCTATTAATCATTATGTTCACTTAATAATCTCCACCAAATCATTTAACAACTACCAAAAACTCCCTGTTCAATACAATAGGTCTTAATATATATACAGGCTAAGACACTACAAAATAAATTTAACTAATATGCTATCCAGATAACAAGCTAACCTAAATAATTACTCCAAGAGAAAATTGAATAGTTGTTCTTTAAGAAGATGAATAACATTGTAAATGTTATTTTATTTCTAATAACATTATTTATTTTATAAAATAATGAATAACCATAAATGTTATTTTTAATTTGTTTTAATCTTAGAAATATGATTAAGTTTATTGCATTAAAAAGTTATATCTTTTAGTTAATACATTATTAATTAACTAATAAAGTAATAAAAATATGATTAAGTCTCTAGTATATATGGTAAAATAGAATATAAAGAAATATAAAAAAATTTAAATTTAGAGAAGTTTTTAATTAAAAAAAAGAGAGAATATTTAATTTATTTCTCATTAATAAACTAAAATATATATTTTCTGATATTTTGAAATATATTATATATATTTGTTTCTCTTTTAAGCGGTATGAATGGAATTTGTCAAATTTTTCAGAAATTTTGTTTTTCTTTCTTTTTCACACAGTTGCACGCAGTGGGTCCCACCTTACCTTTCAACCAGCGGCGCAATCTTTACTTGAATTCCAAGCTCACCCACCGTCATCTCTTCTCCTCTTTCTCCACTGTTTCCTTCTCTCTCTCTCTCTGTGGATCTCTTTTACTCTCTCACACACACTAAAAACACACACACGAACCACCCTTTTTTCCATTTATAAAGATTCAATTTTCAAAAAAGAAATAGATTGTTTAAATATAGAAAAAATGAAAGGAGAATATCGAGATGATAAAGATCCTCACCCTTCCACCACCATGTTCTCCAAATTCCACCACCACCACCACCACCACCACCAACAACAGACACCTCCTCCTCCACCACAGCATTTCGCCATTACCGGCCACCATTTTCAGCGCAGCAACACATCCGAGGAAGCTGACAGCCGTGGCCATGCCACTCCCACCAAGAACGATGTCAGCACCACCGGTAACGACGGAGCATCCATCGAGGTCATCAGACGACCCAGAGGACGTCCACCAGGATCCAAGAACAAACCCAAACCACCCATCGTCATTACCCGAGAACCCGACCCGTCTATGTCTCCATATGTGCTTGAACTCCCCGGAGGAACTGATATCGTCGACGCCGTCGCTCGATACTGCCGGAAACGGAATATGGGACTCTGTGTTTTAACCGGTTCTGGAACTGTAGCTAACGTTACCCTCCGACAACCCTCCACCACCCCTGGTGCCACCGTCACTTTCCACGGTCGGTTCGATATACTTTCAATCTCTGCCACCGTGCTCCCGTCGTTATCTCTATCCTCCGCCGTGGCACCTTTCGCAAACGGGTTCACTATATCATTAGCAGGTCCACAAGGGCAGATAGTGGGAGGAGCAGTCGCCGGTCAACTCATATCCGCCGGAACAGTATACATCATAGCGGCGTCGTTTAATAACCCTCTCTACCACCGGTTACCATCCGAAGAAGACGACAACCACCTTAGAAATTCCGGCGGTGGGACTGGGTCGGCTGCAGCAAGTGACCAGTCTCCACCAGCAGGTTCAGCTGGCGGAGATAGCGGTGGGCATCATCTCCCGCCATCAACGGCGGCAGATTCAATGTCGTTGTATAGCTGCCACCTGCCTTCTGATGTTATCTGGGCGCCTACAGCACGGCAAGCTCCGCCACACCCACCACCGTATTGAAAGATAAAAATTGATCGACCTTCTCTGAGAAGTCGTTAAAGGATCGCTTCATCTTCACAACTTTTTTTCATTTTTCATTAGGGTTTTTGGGTAACTTTTGATCTTTATCCTTCAATCAAATATCATCGCTAGTTTTCTTGATCATTAATATGTTCTTATGAACCAAGAACACACCGTAATTCTTGATTCATCTTTCTTCACTCTCGTTAATGGAGCTGCAAAATCATCATTGAGTTTTCTATCAGGTTTTTAGAGTAACTTCTTATCTTTATCAACTTGTTCTAGGCTACTAGCTATCTTTTTACTTCTCGTAAACTAAATAATCGATCTTTGCGGAAGTTAAAAAGAAAAGAGACGGTTTTACCTTCGTTTTGAACATGAACAGTTGTAAGTTAACAAACTCGTTTTATTCTGTGATATCGTAATTCTTTTTCGTCTCTTAATTAACAAGAACAATAATTAGGTAGTCAGTAATTTAGAAAGAAGAGCTTTAGTTTGGTTAGAAAACGACTGTTTTTACCCTGATATCTCCCACTGTATTCACACCGATAGGATGTACCCCATTCTACACTTGATATGTCATATGTGTATTTGGCAATGGCATGATGATAATGACGACCGAAACTACAGAGTAAATGGGGGGGTTAAAAAAAGAGGTAACTTTGAAGGTCGTGACATTGACAATGAATGAAGAAAAAAGATAGATTTTTTGCAGTCTTTCTGTAAGCAGGCTTCTGAACATTGCAGTCTGAAGACATAAAGATAATGCTTTCATGGTTTCCATTCACTGGATGGCTGTTCACACACACAATACCCTATACCTATACCTCTATATATATATATATATATATATACAGAGAGAGAGAGAGAGATTGCGTCTGGTTTGGATTGAAGTGGAGTGGTGTTATTTCAGGGTTTTTTGACAGTTTCCTTTTTCAGTTCATGCCATTACTGCTAGCTTAACCTATCCCTGCAAATGCTAATGGGGTGTTGTGTTGTCCAAATTTGTTTTCGTAGGGAATGATATCAATTGCTTCTTCTTCTTCATATATAAAAAGGACAGTCTTGTTATACAAACAACAAACCTTTACGATCCGGTTAAAAAGAACCCAAAGGAATATGGGGACTACATATTTGATGATGGGTATTGGCATTGGCATGGGCATGGGGGTATTCATGTGCCTTTTATGACAATTTTGTGTGTAGAATATAGCTTTTTAGATAGTCAAATTGATGATAATAATTTCACTTTTAGACTTTTATATGGTTTTTATATTATAAATTAATCGTTTTGAAAAAGACATACAAAAAGATATCAATAGTATATAAATAAAAAGAGAAGGAAATTCGGTGTGTATTTTGTATAAAAATGGAATTAATTAATTCTGATGAATCATGTTGTCTAGATAAATACTTATAGATACCATGATGAGTTAGAAATCAACAACTAGTGGTTGAGACAGTATTTTTCCACCGCTGATCGATATTAAGTTCCATTTCTCTGTGTTGTTATTTTCAAGGGATATAAGGATGTCCTGTGGTGTATATTATTTGCTCGCATCATTGTATTCATAATGGAAATGGAGAGAGGTGAATGCTAGGTTGCAATACTAGAGAGCGACATTGCAAACTCAAGATTTCGTGCATTAGTCTGTCCAAAGACCGAACCTTTTGTGTAATTTCACCGTGGAGTGTAATTAAGAAAAAGTAGAAGTCAATGTAGATAAGCAAATGGTACCTCAAAAAGACAATTTCAAGTATCTAGGCAATAAAATTCAAAATGGCTCATATTGAAAATGATGTTACTAGTCACATAAATTCGAGTTGCTTAAACTGGATGGTGGCTATAAGAGTATTGTGTGACAAAAATGTCCCATTAAAGTTGAAAAACAAGTTGTACAGCATAATCAAAGGACCAACTATATTGTACAGTATAGAGTGTTGAGCAAAATAAAAAAGAGACAGAAGAGAAATATTGAGGTTCCTGAAATGAGGATGCTTAAGATGAACTTATGGACAACATGCACGACAATATACCAAACAAGGGAACTGAGTTTGGAGTAACTCCTCTCACATAAAAAATGAGAGACGGTATATTGTGGTGGTTCGTGCACAATCATAAGAGATAGTTGTCAGCAACAATTATGAGAAGGTGGTGAGTGTTAGGGTCTAGGGTTTAAGGAAGAGGGGTAGGTTGAGGAGAATGTGAGACAAGCAACTAAGACTAGGCATGAAAACTATACACATTTTAGAAGACGTGAATTCATAAAGGAGTTCACGAAGACACGGAAGTAGGGTAGAAGATTATGTATTAGAACTTGTGGCCAATGGAGGCAGGGGATCCAAGGGGTGGAGAGGTAGATCGCAACAGGGATGGGTTAGAAAGTCGAAGGGTAGGAATCAATGTACTAGAATGGTCAGCTACTTATCAGAGTTGTAGGTTAATGAGGATTAGAGTCTCAACAAATGCTTTATCTTTAGTTAGTTTAGTGTTTAGTACCTTCCCCTATGTTTTTATTGTCCGTACATGATTTAGTTTTCTTGCTTGTTACTTTTTCTCCGACTTTCCTACCATGTCTTTCTTATCATTTATGTTTTTATCTCTTTATACTCTTTCTTACTTTTGTTTAACTTTTAGAATCATTTTTTTTTTTTTGTAGAATAAGGTTTTCTAGAACTATTTACAAGCCAATGGTCTTTATGGAAACAATTTCTCTACCTCTCAGGATAAATATAAGATCTGCATACATCTTACCCTCTCCAAACTTACTCCTGTGGACTCGTACTTTTTGTTTGGTTTGGTATGTACTTGTATGCTTTAGGATCAACTTTGGGTGCTTGAACAAGATTGAACATGTTATGACTAAGATAAAGGCAAGAACATAATCTTAATTCGATGTGACCTTGTAGTTAATTGATACACTTCTTAATATTAGAAAGACTTGAGCTTATAATCTAAAGGATGTAAGTTAGTTTCTATCGTATGCTTTGTTGGTTTATTGATTGATTCTTAAACAAGTTTATATTGATTTCGACCATAACTTGAACATACCCAAAAGGAAGTGAGAATGAACTCTGGATTAAAGGTCGCTAAGATTGTCATCAACTAAATCGACACATTGAAAAATAAAGAATAAAGGACAAAGATAAAAACAAAAATGAAAATCAATATTGTTTTGATGACGAAAAATTCATGTTCCCCAAATTTGGAAAACAATAAAAATCAACAAAAATAAGCACAATAAATACACTAACAACTGCAATTTTGTGCGTTCCGTTCACTTACATGCCAAGATTTTTCAATCGTATCAATTATATTATTCACCTTTGGATACACATTAGGATGAGATGCACCAGATCAATCCTCGTATCAAGCATGATTCATAGGCGTGTTTGATATTACAGGTAATCAAAGGTCTAAATCTCTCCTTACGCTTCTCACCATCTTTAGCCTTAATTCAATCCATATCTTTTATTTTTCATTTAATTTTATTGGTCAATTTTAAATTTTTTTTTCATGAAAAATCCAACCAAAAATGGATAAAAAAACAAAAGCATATTGGTTGGGTGATCGTACAAGCATCAATTGCTATCATATGTGTCTAAAGAGGATGAATGAATGGAAGGTTGGGTCTTAAATTTGAAGTTTTGTAGCTCACCCTACTTGGACTTTGGTTCCACCCTTATCTTTTTGTTCTTGCTGCTTTGAATGTGTCAACATTCAACAATTCAAAGGATAGGTGTCAAATCTTGATCCATCAGACCAACATTTCATTTGAATTCTAGGGTTTCACATTTTTTTAATAAATAAAATCAATATCTTTAAAGAAAATATGAAGTTTATATATATATATATATATATATATATATATATATGATAAAGAAGATATTATTTCCACTGTTTTACAACAGTTAGGTCATTTATTGAAATTGTTTTGTTTTCTAAATCATATAAAAGAGATGTAAAATGAGAAACATTGGACTGTTTTTCATAATTATCCCACATACTTATCTGTCTGTCTATATAATCAGTTCTCAACTTTCTTTTAACTCATGTTCACCCGATACTTGATTATTTTATTTCATACTCGTCTTAGTTTTCTAACTAGTTTTTAACTGAATTAATATTTAACATATATATAAACTATAATGCATATAAAACAAATATTCATAATAATCAAAATTACTATATAATTGGAAGATACATAAAATACATAATTGTTATAAATGTAGATGATACATATTTTTGATTAAGAATGTGACTGCAAAATTGTTACAAATATAAATTTGATGCATATATCCAATTAATGAATAAGCCTTAAATGTTATTGATCTTATTTTCTTAATACTTAGCGTTATTTATCATGAATAGATAATTCTCATATTCTCAAAATATTTACGGCTCTTGTTTGAACACGTTCTTAAAATTATGTATACATATACATGCATAAGGGCATAATCAAATTAGAACCACAAAAATATTAATTACTATTGATTATGTATTGTTTCACGTTGTAAAACAATGCATGCAAAAATGACAATACAATGTTGTTTTATAATATAAAACAAAAAGAACGAAAAAAATAGACATAAAAAATAATCAAATTATAAAACAACCTTATATATTATTAAGCGGCCAAGAATCGTATGATAAGAGAAGTTATAGTGAAAATCGTAATAAGAGATCTGAACTCTTGATTATTTTTAATCTCATGTCCACTCATGAATTGACTTTAGAAGGGAATTGATCAGGTGCATCTTGGTGCGCTTTATTAGTCTTGACATATAATTAAGACGGAACCGAGAATGAAAATCTTTTTTTACACTTTTTACTATAGCTTCCATTCATAAAACATTATTTAGAATGTCAAATTGTACATAAAAATGGGTTGTCTAATGTTTTCAAACTTTTTAGAGTTATGGTCTAATTGATCCCTACATGCATAATGGATGGGATGTGTAGGACCCGGCAAAACTCATTTAATTGAAATCCCTGCCACGAAGCTACTTTATACACATGCATTCGACCTAATCTCCTCCACAAATATACATGTAAGGTTGGGTTTTAGTAGGATGATAAAAACGTTACATCAACACATTCATACACCTCCATATACTTTTATCTATATTAATTTATTTTTTATTATTATGACTGAAACTTTAATAAATTCATACATATAAAAGTAATATATATATATATATATATATATATAAAAAGTGGTGAAAGTAATTTAAAAGTAAAAATAAAAATAAATAAATAAAAGTTAAGTTAGATTA